GAAAGCATCAACCATGTTTCTATACGAGTTTGTAAGACTGTCATAGAAGATCTGTATTAAGTGTCATTGAGCAATATCATGGTGTGGACACTTTCTTAGAAGATCATTATATCTTTCCCATGCATCATGGACCTGTTCTCCCGGGATTTAGGAAAATGTCATGATTTCTCTTCTCATTTGTGTAGTTTTACCCACAGTGTAGTACTTCTTCGAGAACTCTTGTTGCAATATATCCCATGTAGATATGAAATTTGTTGGAAGGAACTGCAACGAAGTTCTTGTTTTTTCCTTGTGAGAGAATTGGAAAAGACGCATTCTGAAGGAATCATTGGTTAAAGTGTTCAACTTGGTAGTCGAACACAATTCCAAGAACACATCCAACTGCTTATAGGGATCCTCTGTTGCAAACCCATGGAATATAGGAAGCATTTGGATCATGGCAGGCTTAATCTCAAAATGGGTTGAATCAGCATCCAGAAAAACAAAGCACGTAAGAGAAGTGTATATGGTAGGAATAAAATGGTCCCTCAATTGTGGTTGTATAGGGACAGGCGGAACCTGTTCTCCATTCCCATTACCATTACCATTATTACCCGGTGCATCACATTGTTCAGCCATATTATTAGAGGAACTATATATAGAATTTAGATGTCTTTTATGTTTTCTTAATTGACTCAAAGTTCTCTCTATTTTAGGATCATGCACTAAAGGTTTTGACCGGTTATGGCGAGTTAACATGCATTAATTCCACTAATCCTATAGTAACAAAAATAAAGTATTCCAAGTAACATAAAATAATAAGAACTCACAAAAAGGTTAAATAAACCGAAGTTTTTTCTCCCTTAAGCATATTTGTCCTCACCACTAATTTGTACCTAAAAAGAAAAAAAATTAAGGTGAGATATCAGAAAGTCCGGAGACTGGTAAACCAAAATAACTAATTAAAAACTAAACAAAATCTAATCTCCCTGGCAACGGCGCCAAAAATTGTTGATTTCTCTCGCAATAGAACGATTCCGTGTAGGATAGCTCTACATAAAGAGGATGTCGAACCCATAGGGAGATGGGATTTGTATTAGTCTTTAAGTTTACAGGTAACTTGGTTGGAGAATTTGTTGGTTGTCACAATTTAACAAACTAAAATTAAAATAAAATATTAAATTAAAGTAAATTAAACTAAATTGAATGATCAGAGAGAGAGGAATCTTAGGGCTTTGACTTCACCACAACCATCACATTATGGTTACTTATACTAATTCTGGGAATTTAACAATGATATTTTCCAAATGAATTGAACTCAATAGCATTCGTTCAATTTGGGTTTTAAAAAAAGAGATGTTTTACAAAATTAACTAACTATAACCTATCTGCGGTTAGCATGGACTATCCACCTACCTACTCTAACTACTTTAACTACGTTGCAAATAATCCACCTTTCCTAAGCATAGATTATGAAAACATTCTTTTGCAAAATACATTGGAACACCATTATATGACCTCTATTCTTATGGTCGGTAAGACTCCGTCAGATACCGTCCAATAAGATAGGTTGAGAATAGAAAATAGACTATTACATCTAAGACAAGGTAGTAACAATTTATGGTCTACTAAAGTATGAAAACCACTTGAGTTGTCTCAAGTGCTCATAGTCATATAATCAAGAAAAAACATATATTAAAAATAATCCCAGAGTTAAAACAATTAAACCATAATATTAGGTTGGGTTACATCAGTGCCCTAAGAGAGAAATTAGCTACTCATGACGAGGTCAGATATCATCTGTGTTGAGTTCATTTCCATCGTCATGGTTGGCACTTCTCTTCTTAGGATCTTCACTTCTAAGGTTGTAGGAATCCTAAAAGCCACCACACCTTCAACCTTCTGAATAACACCGTAAAAGAAATTAAAATTTTGGACCTCTTCTATCAAGGCTTTCACCTTCTTTTATAGAAGAAAATAAGTATTTGGTCGACTTTTAGGTCTCTGGCCTAACTGGGATGAGATACGGTTGATAAAGAGAACAATTTGCAATATTAATCTAACATGTCATGGAAGGCTTGAGCTTTAGGAACAAAGGCTCGAGCTTTAAGGTTCAGACTCGAGCTTGAGGAACAAGGCTTGAGGTTCTCTGGATTGATGCTCGAGCTTCAAGAATTGGTGCTCGAGCTTCAAGAATTGGTGCTCGATCTTCACTTTAACACGTAGCCAATTTTCTTCAACTATTTTCTGAAGCATCTTATTCTTCAACACTTAGAATATTTTTGGGATTGAAATCTTTTAGCATTGCTCGATCCAAGCTTCATGGGCTCGAGCACTAGGTACCAGGCTCGAGCATTTGGGACACCAGGCTCGAGCCTCAGTTGTTAGTGCTTGATCCTTAGTGGATCGTGCTCGATCCTAGAGATGAGGCACGAGACCTGGGAGCATAGCCTTTCGATTAAATCAACTCTTTAATTTCTGACGCCTCATGCTCGAGCTTGAGGGTCAAGGCTCGAGCACCCTTGGGTAAGGCTCGAGCACCTTGTGGTAAAACTCGAGCACCAAGGTACAAGGCTCGAGCTTTTGGGCATTGTTGATTTTTCTTCTTTCCTTTGTTGTGATGCTAGAACCTTAACACTTGGGCTCGAGCTTTAAGGCTTAAATTTCTTCAAACTTCATCATTTAAGCTCTCGACTTGCTCTGAATAATCGGCAACGACTCTGTAAGCTTTGATATCATCCTAAAGTCCCGGTTTTAACCATTACTCTCGGAAAGTACCTACAAACACACATTAAACATAAATTAGTCTAACTATGGATAGAAGTATCACTTTAGGCCTTAACATATATGTATTTAGAGGCTTGAATATGCATAAATTCAGCGCTCATCAGTTGTTAACTTTGGCAGGGGGTATCAAAGCAATTTTTTCACAAGTTTAATCCGTGAGCAATAAAAGCAAACCAAATGGTATTTCAAAGTGATTTTAGAAATATGTTCTTTATTTGATCAGAGTTCAAGCTTATTGAAGATTCAGATGATTTCGTTTAGAATTAAGGTTTTTCTTCTTAATTTGATCTACAAATCATTGAAAGGAAGATTTGATCATGCTACAAAAGAAACAAATCATTTAATAAGTATTTGTATTCCATCAGGTATTTGGCTACAAGGACTGAGGAATAATTAGTAATCGAGAGCGTTTGGACGAGGAGTCGCAAAGGTAAAGGCGTTCAACAACTGAATTTTGGTAGAGTGGAAAATGTGTGAGTCTGAGTTAGAGTTTGTTGTACTTTACTTCAAAATAGTTGATTTTCACATGAGACTGCGAAGGTCTCCGTGATTTTCTCCCAATTAGGGTTTTCATGCTAAAACCCTAATGTCATCTTGAACTTTACTTAATTCACACTTTGTTATTGCTTTGTGGGTTTTTTTTAATTTTATTTCGGTAAAATTAAAATAAGCAAAGAATGGACAAAAATGCGAATTAAACCTATTTACTCCCTTGTAGATATTTTTTAAAGTTTAATTTCGCAACCATTCTTTGTAGCATAACTCACAAAAACCACAACCACAGTCAAGATCGAATCGACAAAAAAGGTAAAATCATACACTAAACAAAATACTACTAAAAGATATAATGTAGTGTAACTTATAAATTAAGTTCCATGATGTAGATCGAAAAAAAAAAAAAAAAAAAAAAACTTTGTTATGTGAAGAATAAAATTGAGATTACAGGTTTTCAAGCTTTTAACCCTTATCTCTCTCACTCTATTTCTGTTTCTAACATTCTTTTTATGAACACTGCAAACTCTGACACTCCTAATATAGGGTTAAGGTAAAGACTAAATTCTGGATCTAAAGATTCATAATTTGGGTCAATCGAAACAAAATTCAAGGCATGACTCACATGGGCTTAGCTGTTAACTAGGGCTGGACTTAACTCTGATACCAACAGTAACAAGTGGGGTGCTTGCCCTCTAACTCAGAAAAATTTAAACTAATTATTGGATAAAGTAATGATACTTTGTCCGATCAAATTAGCCTACTCCTGATCTGAATTCTACGTGTAATTGCCACGTAATTACCTAAATCGTTAATATTTTATTTGTGCGCTAAAGATACCAAAAATAAAAATAAATATGGAAATAAACTAAAGAGGTTTTGACGATCCCTCTCTATCTCTCTGATTTCTCTATTCATCTTCTTCGTTCAGCTGTTTCCTTTGATTCTTTTTCTCTCTGACTCACGGTTCTCTTTTTTATACTTTACAAAATTGAAGGGAAAACAAAGCATTGAGAAGTCTCTATTGGTTCATAAAATTAAAGGGGAAAATACATATAAACGTATATATTTGCTTGAAAAAAAAAAACCCTAATAAGATTGAAAGTATGTATTCATAGTTTTTTTTTTTTTTTGTTTTTTTTCAATATATATTTTGGCTTTGTATCAGTTTTGGGGATTTGATTGGAAAATAAAAAAACTTCAAAAGTTCATTATGAAGTACGGCCTCCCAAAAAATCTTCTCCCAAAGGCTGTCAAGTCCTACCTTGTCCTCTGACGCCATGTTTATCGTCCAACTTCCTGTTACGTTCATTTTTTTATTTTATTTTTCCAATATATATTTGAGCTTTTGTATATTGTATCAGTTTTGGGCATTTGATAAGGAAAAAAAAATATATTCAAAAGTTCATTACGAAGTGGATGCGCTCTCCACCAGACCCATCATCAACTCCTCACCGAAAGAATCAAGGAAACAGTTAAATGAAGAAGATGAATAGAGAAATAAGAGGCATAGAGATGGGTCGTCAAAACTTCTTCAAAATTCTTTCCATATTTATTTTTGGTATCTTTAGTCACAAATAAAATATCAACAATTTAGTTAATTACGTGGCAGTTACATATAGGATTCAGACTAGGAGTAGGCCAATTTGATTGGATAGAGTATCGTTACTCTATTTGATAATGTTACTATCCATTCATTTATTCCCATTTGACATTCTACTCGCATGTGAACAATTCTAACATCAATCAATTTAAAATTTTATTTTATTTTTTACCCTGACAAAAAAATGCCATGCAGCATCTACACGGCAAGATCAATGAACCACTGATACAGCAAAGAACACATGAGACATAAAACCCACACAACAAGACTGACACCCAGCAAGGTTAATAAAAACCTTAAGCTTTAAAGGGTATCAGAGAAAATGAGAGTGCTAGCATCAAGACAACTCAAGAAAGGCACGACATTGAAGTACATCAGAGGCTAAGAAACGATACGCAAGGAGAACCACGCAAATAAAGACTTTGAAAACTAAGCCTATAGGCTTTACCTGCCTAATAAAGAAGTCAAAGTGGTGGGCCATAAACAGACTATGAATCCGCACGTGCCCATGGTCTGTCTGACCCCACCAATAAGCATGCAAGAGACACATCGGCAACAGCAAAGCCTCCCACGCAATCAAACATGTCGTCGACCAGTGAACCCTAACCGTCGACCAGCCTAAGAGCGTCTGAAAGTAATAAAAAAAACTCGGTAAAAGGCATCCCACAACTGGGAGATCATTATCATCCTCACCACCCAACGACAACACCATAGTCTAGACAACTGTATACAAAGCCCCAAACCCTTAACCCCGAAAATAAGCCAAACCATAGAGCTCTGTACAAAATTCAACAAACAGGCTTGCCCGCAGAAACCTGCACCCCTATCCAGCATATCAGAATATTAGATGTCCTTGAGTCTATCACCATCCAGCGGGACAGCAATAAAACTGCAAATCATAACAAACATTAGAATTAAATTGGAAAGACAAGAGAGGAGAGAAATACCTGGATCAAAAGGAAAGCTGGACATAAATCAGGTATCTATGCCTCCAAGGCTCAAAAACCCCAATTTTACAAGCCTCTTCTCACATGTGCCCCTCCGGCTAGGCAACCGGCAAGATCGACAGACTGGATAAGAAAAGGAAACCATCGTATAAAAACCACACCGTCTTGGAGACATCTCCAAACTCTGATAAACAGAGGACCTCGACAAAGCGAGGAACATGTTGAAACTCAGTTCAGCGTCTCTCACGGAACCTCCCTCTCCCTCTAAAACTATGGAAGCACTTTATTGTTGAAACCTAATATGGATAAGTGCGAATCGCCGTCAAAGCCACACTTTCTGAGTTAGCATCGTCATCAAACCACGCTTGGATGGGGAATAGAGAAGGCGGCCCTCAAAAACCCTAGCAAAGAGTGGAGAGAGAAAAAAGAGAGGCTAGATGTTTAATCAATTTGAAGAGGGGAGTGTTTTTTAAAGTTTTATGAGAAAGAGGGGTTGACTGGAGACCTAATTATTTACTAGTGGTCCTGAAAAAAAAAAAAAAAAAATCATGGCCCTGTAAGAGAAACAATTCCACACGTTTCTTTGAATAGTATGAATATGGAATTGTTGGGAATTCACACCAAGATTAAATAATTTCAGAATAATAAACTATTTAACATTTCGTGAATTAAAAGAACAGGTTCAATAAAAATTTTGTAAGTATGAATATTTATCTTGGAGCAACCTCCCAATCATTGCACATGTTGTGAATCTCAACGTGTTGCATATTCATACATTGACTTCTATAGATTGCACAATTTTTAATTTTTAATATATTTTTTTAGACTGCATAATTTGGAGAAGCAGAAAGAAGGATGAAAGCCTGAACATTGATGACATGGAGAGATGTGTGAGTCTCCTATCTAGCAGGGTTAAGGAAGCATGGCATGGTTATGGATAGAATGAATTCTGAAATTAAATACGAATAAATTCACATTTCGAAATTTTAGTAAAAATAGTTTAAATATGAAAAGAAATTAAATATAATTCATGGATATTTATATATTTTTATTCGAAATATACTAATAAAAAGTAACACTAACCCATTAATGATTCAAAACTAAATACAATTTTAACTCCACGTTTTTCATTTAGATGCATGTCTGCACAATCTTGCCACTAATGAAGTAGATATCTAAGAAAAAATTACAACCGCCCCGACCCTCTCCAACCTCTCTCTAACTTTCTCTCCCTAACCCCTTCGTCTTCTTCATCTTTCTGCTTCCCTGCTGCCTTTCATGGGAGTAGGGGATGATGGCTGCCTCCTACGGTTACAATAAACTCTAAGTGCGCTCCGTGAATGTTTTTTTACGCCATTTTTGTTTTTCTTCGGCTCGATCTGTTCATATTCGGTTCGTTTTCGGATCACATAGCCGAATTTGTTGTTTCCTCCGACTAGATCTCTGGTTTATGTCGGTTTTGGTTTTTCCTACCTCAATTTAATCTTTTTTCCCTTGATTTGATATTGTGCGGGGTTTCTCATGTATCGGAGCATCTTATGGTTGTAGTTTTGGAGCAGTTGTCGTGCTGATGGATAGACTTTTCGTTCTCTCCAGTTTGCTGCGTTCTCCCATGATGGTTTCGTTTGCAGAGTGTTGGGTTTTGTTTCCTCCACAAATCTAGAGTCTGGGTTCTGTTTCCTCCACAAATCTGGAGTCTGTTATTCATTTATTTGCTTTGCTTCAAGATTTATATGTCTTTTCTGACTTGACTTTATGTCTATATACTACCATCTTGACTTTTGACCTTTGTACTTTTGAATGACAAAAAAAGAAAAAAAAAAAAAGATAAGATAAGATAAGATATCTAAGGATATCAAATTTAATGGTGCTACTTTATCACATTACAAAATAATGTCCAAGCGCTTAAACTTTTATAAAAATACATGTGCGTGTGAGAGCATTTTTCACATTGAAATGTTATGCTCCAATTATATTCTATAGTGACACTATCACATGTTTAAAGTATTGTTGTCGGAAAAATACATTACTAAAAAAAAAAAGAGCATTTTCCACATTGAAATGTTATGCTCCAATTATATGCTATATTGACACTATCACATGTTTAAAATACTGTTGTCGGAAAAAAACACCTCTGTTGATTCTCTCAAAATATCAAGGAGAAGCGTCTGCTTCAACCTCTCCGTCCTTATAGAATAGGTTTAATTGCCTATTTCGGTAGAGGCGGAAAAGGACAATGACTTCGTACATTGAATTTTAGCAGACAGAGTAAAGACATCACTATATCAGAAAAGTTTTGGGCGGGTAGGATTCCCCTTCAATCTGACAATCTCCAATGGCAGAGGTCAAATGAGGTCTTTAGATATTTAAATGTGCCTTCTCCCGGAGGGTACCATAAAAAATTAGAATGGAATCTAAGTCGAATAATTTTTCTCAATAAGTATCAGTCTCACAACTTGAATGTATTTTCGTTTTCATGCTTTGCATATACTTTAATTCAAAATTTCATTATTTATGACTTAATTTTGTCGCTCTTATATTTTATTTTTTAATTTACTTTCACTTTAATTTTCGTTTCATGTGACTTAGGTGAGAATTAAACTGGAGATCTAATTTTCATATTGAAAAAAAAAAATAATTAATTAATAAATAATATTAAAGAATTCAAGTTTATCATGCTTAAAGTTGTAAGACTATGAAAATGGTTGCCCAAAAAGGTAGGAACACCAGAGGGGACGAGAGACGTTGTCTTGTCAGGGGGTAAAATCTCATTAAAATCTCGATACAAAGAACGTTTTTTAACATTTTACTTTAATGATAATAATAGTGGAGAGTCCCAATATCATTATCTTAATAATAATTAAATTAAAAGGGTAACGATACAAACTCTATTAAAAAATGCTTATGGCCCACCATTCCAACTGAAATGGTGAGCCTCTGTAGCATGATTGATAAATATCAGCACTTAGACATCTTCAATGTTAAAAATTATTTTTATATATTAAATTTATATTTTAACTGGTATTATAGTATCAAAATATTACATTTCAATAATTTTGCTTTAATGATATATTTTATGCAAAATGTTATTTTTTAACACAATCATCATTCTTTTTCAATTACCATTCCCACCATTCATATTTGCATCCGTAAAATTAATATTAAACACATTCCAAATCAAGTTATAGACATTAGAGGGAAACTAAAATTAAATCTAATTAAAAAGATGCAAAAATCTAAAATATCTGGTCAAAAAAGGAAGGAAAAAAAAAAAATAAAACAAAATGATATAAAAGAAAATCAAAAAATCAAACCCCATATCTTTATATATATATATATGTATGTATGTATATTATATATATTTGATTATATTATTATTAAAAATATATATATATATATTTAGGGCAAATCATTTCAGCCTCCCCAATTGCCTCCATCTCTATTCTCGTTCTCAACTCTGAAATTGCCCCTCTCTCTCTCTCTCTCTCTGTAACTACAAACTACAAAATCAACAAGAATCAGAAGTTCAACTCTCAAGCTTGCCCCCCTCTCTCCAACTGCTAACTTGTATGTATGGGTTTTGATTTAATTTTTTTTTCCTAAATCAACTAATCAAGTTCTGTAACTCTTTGTAATTTTTTTTCTAAATCAACTAATCCATAGCAGGGACGGCCTCTGCTCTCTTCCTTCTTGACCTCAAAGGCCGTGTTCTGGTATGAAGCAACTACCGTTGCGATGTACCAGCTGTTCAGGCTGAGAAACTCTTCACCAAACCCATTGAGAAAAAGGTTTGATTTTTGTCTACTTTTTTTAATCAAGGTCTGTAATTCTTGTTTTGCAAACTATATCATATTTGGTGAAATTTTTTATGATCTTTTTTAAATATATATATGCCAAATCTGAACCCCCACCTCTCTCTCTCTCTCTCTTTCTCTAAAATAACAGTAGCTATTTCTTGCAAAACATTTGGCAAAGTTAAAAATTGGCAGCCCTTTTAGCATTGTATTGGAGAACCCCTTTTGAAGTCCCCTTGCTATATTTTAGAAATGACAGCTTTTTTAGCATTGCATTAGAAATACTCTTATATCAGCAAAAAAATCTATGATAAGTACAACTCATAACAAATGTGCATTTAAACATTGAAACACACGTTTAATCATTTGAAATAACTAAAATTACGGTTTCTTTTGTTTCGATGTAAAATATTTTTTATTTTTAAATAAAAAATATTTATTTTTTATTTTTTATTTTTTATGTTGATTAAAGGTTTAGGTAGTATCCATCTTCGAATGCAAAATAACTTATTAAAGATTAATAAATAAATTATTTTCATTAAATTTTAATATATATATATTTTTATAAATCTTCTACTATAATTAAACACAGATGAAAAATGATTTAAGGCTTATTTAGCAAAGTAAATTAAGCAATAAAGTCTTTAATAGCCTGAGGTGGGCGCATGTTTGGGTCCCACTTCTTGCATGATGCCTTCCGCCAAACAAAAAGCCCAAAGTATATCAAAATATCATGATTAAAGCTAAAAATAATATATCAAAAGTCATTTAAGTAGATTATAACGATCAACTTTTATATATGTATATTTTTTTAACCTATCTTGCCAAATTACAGTAATTTTTTAATAAGACTTTGCTATTCCTTTGACCAACAGTCATTTTCGGGTGAAGGGGGGCTGTTGCGGATGGTTTCAGTGATGTTGTTGATGAATGGGCGGAAGGTACGGGAGGCGATCGGCGGCTGGGATCTCCGGAGGATGTTGCCTGTAATGGTGGTGGGGGTGGTGGCCTATAATTGTGGTGGGAGGACGTGGAGAGGAGAGAGAAGGAAGAAGGAAGGAAGAAGATGAGGGGCAAAAATAGGAACAAAAAAGGTAAAATCAAAATTTAAGATTTATTTATTTTTTTTTGTCAAAAACTGATTAGAGGAACTTATTTGTACCATTTTTACACATTATGGACTAAAATACATACTTTCCAAAAAGAATGACTAATTGTGCACATAACTAGAGGTTTTTTTGTACTTCACCATTTTTAAAGTTTAGTTTGGTAACCATTCGATGTAGCACAACTCACACAAATGGTACAAACCACAACCACAGTCAAGACCGAATGGACAGAAAACATAAAATCATGTACTACACAAAATAAAAGATATAATGGAGTGCAACTTACAATTTAAGTCCCACGGTGTAGATCCGGAAAAAAAATAAAGATAGAATTTGTTATGCGAAGAATAAAATTGAGATTATAAGTTTTCAAACTTTTAACCCTTATCTCTCTCACTCTATTTCAGCTTCTAGCATTTTTTTTTTAATGAACAGTGCAAACTCTGACACTCATAATATAGGGTTAGGGTAGAGACTAAGTTCTCTAAAGATTCACAATTGGGTCAATCGATACAAAATTCAGGGCATGACTCCACATGCTAGAACATCAACATGTGTAGCAAAACACTCAAAATGTACTCGACTAGGACCTCTACAGCTGCAAATGCAGGACGACTCAATAGCTGCATAAATTAAATGCTGAGGAAAAAGGCGTGGCTGACACCAATTACATGTAGCAAAAACTTTCCAGTCGGGTTTTATGTGGAACACTTTCAACAATCTTTTCCGCTACCTGAACTAGGTTTGGACTTGGTAACAAGTGGAGT